ATGAACAGAGGCCATCATTCTTTGCCAACTATTACGTTGGCCAATGGCCCAATGGTAAAGATTGTGCCCATAGAGGGGCCAAAGTTTACTCTGCAGGGGTTCTTTTTAAAGGGATGTGATACAACAAGTTTCGTTAGAGGAAGGAGAACGGCTCCCCGTCCCACTATAACTAACATGACCTTGTACACAAAAACTGGTTTTTTTCTTTCAGTGAATGTCACAAGTGCACTTTTTCATCCGCGGCCTGCCAATTGGTTCGCTCTGCTGCGTTGTTAATGGACCTGACACATGTCCCACTCTTGTTTTTCATCAGCGATGTCCCACGCAAGCCGTGTGCTTGTGACGACTTTCTCTGCGGAATGGATACGATCGTCAAAGTGGAAATGTGCTCCCACTGTGGGGTTATCATCAAAGTCTGTCAGGTGAAAGAAGTGTGTTGCCTTCCCCTTGTGCAGATGTGTCCTCTCCACTTATCACTAATTAAATCAGAAAGTTGCGCTGACCTCGTCCACCAATCCCTTTTCTCAGTAGTTTCTCTGGAATTTTTGCACATGTGGGTGTTTGTGTGTTAGTTATGTTAGGTTGTGTGTGTGTACGCCGTGCATATATGTCCATGTATTTATGTGTCGCTGCATGGCACAGCAAAAGGGCCTGTGGATGGCTGTTGTGTGGGATCTTCAGGCAGTCTTGGCAAATGGGACTGTGCCTGATGCAATGTTGATCCACTGACCCGTGTCTCTGTTGGGCGTTCCTATTTTACAACGTGCAAGTGCGCTGTTATGGCAGACGGGTGTTTAAGCACTTCCCTGTGAACCACACAAACATGGGGAACGACGGAACATTGCATGTCAAAGGCACAGTTAAACCACCAGTACTTGGCCCAGCTATCGGCCGCGGCGATTCCCCGTTAACGCGCCGCGCCTTTAGGGCTTTTCGGGGTACCGGACCACAATTGCTGGAAGCGCCAGCCAAGAACAAAACAAAACGGTACCCCAGCGCTTCGGCAAAAATCGGCGTGCAGGGGCATTCCAGGCTCGGCATCGATAGCTGGGCCAAGTACTGGTGGTTTAATAAAAAAAAAGAAGGCACAATTCATGGGGAAAGGTGAAAGAAAAGCAAAGAGGAAGTTTTGGAAATGCGAAGAAGACAAAGTGAAAAAAAAATAAAAAAAAAGAAAAAGTAAAAGAAAAAGAAGTTCAGGAACAGCTTCACAAACTTCCATACGCTTCCCTTCTGCCTTGTTCTGCTTCTTTTCCTGTTTCTTTTGTGAATTCACCCCTTTGTTAACAAACATGTTATGATATGCTGGAATCTGAAAAAACAGTCTGTCGCTTTCCTGATCAGTGATTTCTCTTTTTCTTTTGTGGCTGTATTCTGCCTCTCAGCTTGCGTGATAGAGGTGGTCAGTAGTGTGAGAGAGGGTTTCAGGAGGGTGAGAGAGGCTTGCAAGCCTTCTGTAGTTACCTTCCGCAGTAAGGGCTCCTTGCTGTGTATCAGGAAGTGGGTAGTGTTGGCATTCTACCTGCGGGTATTGTACAGATTGGGACCCTATCGCTGTAAGGCAGAACTACAGGGTCGTGTAATGCTTCTGGGTGCCTATACTGATTCATCTGAAAACCTGTGCGGGCCCGAATCTCTGTTAGTCACTGCTTTCCACATAGGACGGGGGTGAATAGTAGCACGCTGTTGGAACGACCCTGCATGGAATCCAACCAGCGATGTTGGGCTGAACAGCCAGACTCCTTAACCATTGCGACCGTGACCCGGTGTTAGAATGTGGAACCATACCGATCGTGATAGCTACTCCCCCCCTGCACGGTTGCAGTATGCACACACACTCTTCCCACACGGCATCCTCCAAGGGACTACTGTCTTCACGCGAATAGAACACCCGCTCATTATAGCCATATTTGGTGCGATTTTCTCGGCCTTTTGGCTAAGATAAAGTGTAGTATCTGTTGTGATGAGTTTAATATCTGATCCGTGGTCCATCGGGCCACATTCAGAAAAGAAAAAGAAAAAAAGATACTGCTATAATGACTGGGTGTTCTCTCCAGGCGAAGACGGTAGCCCTGCTCGTAGGCACCAGGTTCATGTATTATTTCCTGGCTGGTTACCACGCTGTTGGAACGACCCTGCTGGGAATCGAACCGGTGATCTCAGATTGAGCAATGAGCATCCAGACGCCTTTTCTTTTTTTTTCCTTTTTTTTTTAACCACTAGTACCTTTGCCGCGTGGGAAAATCGTGAGCCTCGGGTGGGCCTCCGACCTTTTCGGAGGCCGAAACGAAACGATGACCACTGATCAGATTTATCAATGGCAGCCACCGTCGGGCCCGGCCTCCAAATTTTTAGGAGTTTGGGAAAACTGCCACTTTTCCCTATTTTCCCAACACTGGCGGAGGTACTAGTGGTTTGAAGCCCAGGGTGTTGTACAGGCCAGTGACCAGACACACGGCCCATTGTTGTTCTGACAGGGCGGGGCCACCTCCCGACCCATCCTCACGCCAATACTCCTAGCACCCCCTATCCCTACTACCCTACCGCAGTGTGGCCAGCACTCAGGACCATCACCCTACCGGTATCAAGGGCAACTTGGACCAAAGAGCAGTGACAAGCACCAGGGCTGAGCAGTACCCAGCCATAGTGGAAGCGGAAGCGGGCGAACCTTGCCATACAGGAACTTCGGACACCAGGCTCATGCAATCTTCTACAGGCCCCAGTAGTCAGAGAGTCTACCCAATAAGCTGGAACAAGCACCTAGGCAAGGCAAGCTGGCGCCCACGGACACATCCTACTGTCCTTCCCCTAACTTACGCAAGGGTAGGAGGAACTCGGACTAGCCGGAGCGACTTATATCCCTACCCTGCCCTAGAGTCTAAGCCATGCAAGAGCAGACCCCCGTGATAGACCCCCCCAGACTAGGTAGTATTTTTGTACTGGTTTATATAAGCCCCCTGGAGGCACCCCGCCTCAACGCAGCGGAGGGGCGACCCTATGCGCCCTTAATCTGTCACCAACGAATAGACAGCCCTCCTCCAGACCCCGGTCAACAGCTAGCCTCCTCCCCCCCCAAAGGCACCCATGCATGCTTGATATATCCTCAGTAGTAGAGTGTCTCCCACCTGTTAGCAGATTCCGGTCATCGGCTAGGTT